GCTCTAATTGGAAGGAATATAGACGTCTCGCCCCACATCGTCCTCGGTTAAATATGAGTAAGATGTGAGCCGGTTAAAACACTAAAAATATCTATTCCAGCCCATCAAAATCTGCCATTAGCATAACTGTTTGTCTGTGACGCCTGGTCGAAAGTGTTCACTGGGGAAGGAGGGCATCTATCAATGTGTGTGTGTGTGAGCAGACGTTTGAAGTAAGCATTTATGTGCTTGCCTGTTAGTCTGCCTTACGATGTTGCACTGTCCACCTTGAGATTAACGCATCGGCCCACCATCAGATTAACGCCTAGCCCACCATGAGATTAACGCCTTGGCCCACCATGAGATTAACGCCTTGGCCAACCATGAGATTAACGCCTTGGCACACCATGAGATTAAAGCCTTGGCACACCATGAGCTTAACGCCTTGGCACACCATGAGATTAACGCCTTGGCACACCATGAGCTTAACGCCTTGGCACACCATGACATTAACGCCTTGGCACACCATGAGCTTAACGCCTTGGCCCACCATGAGATTAACGCCTTGGCACAAAATGAGATTAACGCCTTGGCCCACAATGAGATTAACGCCTTGGCACACCATGAGATTAACGCCTTGGCCCACCATTAGATTAACGCAAACGCCTTGGCCCACCATGAGATTAACGCCTTGGCACAAAATGAGATTAACGCCTTGGCCCACAATGAGATTAACGCCTTGGCACACCATGAGATTAACGCCTTGGCCCACCATTAGATTAACGCCTTGGCACACCATGAGATTAACGCCTTGGCACACCATGAGCTTAACGCCTTGGCACACCATGAGATTAACACCTTGGCACACCATGAGCTTAACGCCTTGGCACACCATGAGCTTAACGCCTTGACACACCATGAGCTTAACGCCATGGTTCACCATGAGATTAACGCCTGGGCCCACCATGAGATTAACGCCTTAGCACACCATGAGATTAACGACTTGGCACCCCATGAGCTTAACGCATTGGCTCAACATGTGATTTACGCCTTGGCACACCATGAGATTAACGCCTTGGCACACCATGAGCTTAACGCCTTGGCCCAGCATGAGCTTAACGCCTTGGCCCAGCATGAGTTTAACGCCTTGGCCCACCATGAGATTACCGACTTGACACACCATGATATTAACGCCTTGGCACACCATGAGCTTAACGCCTTGGCACACTATGATATTAACGCCTTGGCACACCATGAGATTAATGCCTTTGCACACCATGAGATTAACTCTTTGGCACACCATGCGATTAAAGCCTTGTCACACCATGAGATTAACGCCTTGGCCAAGCATGAGAATAACGCATTGGCACACCATGAGCTTAACGTCTTGGCACACCATGAGATTAAGGTCTTGGCACACAAGATTAATGCCTTGGCACACCATGAGATTAACGCCTTGGCACACCATGTGCTTAACGCCTTGGCACACCATGAGCTTAACGCCTTGGCACACCATGAACTTAACGCCTTGGTACACCATGAGCTTAACGTCTTGGCCCAGCATGAGTTTAACGCCTTCGCCCACCATGAGATTAACGCCTTGGCACACCATGAGATTAACGCCTTGGCACACCATGAGATTAACGCCTTAGCATACAAGATTAACGCCTTGGCACACCATGAGATTAAAGCCTTTGCACACCATGAGATTAACTCCTTGGCACACGACGAGATTAATTCCTTGGCACACCATGAGCGTAACGCCTTGGAACACGATGATATTAACGCCATGGCACACCATGAGATTATCGCCTTGGCACACCATGAGATTAACGCCTTGGCACACCATGAGCTTAACGCCTTGGCACACCATGAGCTTAACACCTTGGCACACCATGAGCTTAACGCCTTGGCACACCATGAGCTTAATGCCTTGGCACACCATGAGCTTAAGCCTTGGTTCACCATGAGCTTAACGCCTGGGCCCACCATGAGATTAAAGCCTTGGCCCACCGTGAGATTAACGCCTTGGCACACCATGAGATTAACGACTTGGCACCCCATGAGCTTAACGCCTTGGCTCACCATGAGATTAACGCCTTGGGACACCATGAGATTAACGCCTTGGCATACCATGAGATTAACGCCTTGGCACACCATGAGATTAACGCCTTGGCCCAGCATGAGATTAATGCCTTGGCCCACCATGAGATTAACGCCTTGGCCCAGCATGAGCTTAACGCCTTGGCACACCATGAGCTTAACACCTTGGCACACCATGAGCTTAACGCCTTGGCACAACATGAGATTAACGACTTGGCACACCATGAGCTTAACGCCTTGGCACACCATGAGCTTAACGCCTCAGCCCACCATGAGATTAACGCCTTGGCCCACCATGAGATTAACACCTTGGCCCACCATGAGATTTACGCCTTGGCCCACCATGAGATTAACGCCTTGGCCCACCATGAGTTGAACGCCTTGGCCCACCATAAGATTAACACCTTGGCCCACCATGAGATTAACGCCTTGGCCCACCATGAGATTAACGCCTTGGCACACCATGAGATTAAAGCCTTTGCACACCATGAGCTTAACTCCTTGGCACACGACGAGATTAATTCCTTGGCACACCATGAGCGTAACGCCTTGGAACACCATGATATTAACGCCATGGCACACCATGAGATTATCGCCTTGGCACACGTACTCTAATTGCGGAACCGCCACCATGAGATTAACGCCTTGGCCCACCATGAGATTAACGCCTTGGCCCACCATGAGATTAACGCCTTGGCCCACCATGATTTGAACGCTTCGGCCCACCATGAGATTAACGCCTTGGCCCACCATGAGATTAACGCCTTGGCCCACCATGAGATTAACGCCTTGGCCCACCATAAGATTAACGCCTTGGCCCACCATGATTTGAACGCTTCGGCCCACCATAAGATTAACATCTTGACCCACCATGAGATTAACGCCTTGGCCCACCATGAGATTAATGCCTTGGCCTGCTCGTAGAGTGTTGCTCATTACATGACGTGGCAACTGTTAATAAAAAAATTTGTGTTATCGAACAATTCTTTTTTACTTTTCACGATGATCATACGACACCTGGTAATGCTAATTTAATTTTTTACAGTCCTGAAACAGATGAAGCCCCCCTTTTGGCATTCTTAAATGACTCCCTTAACGTCTTTTAAAACTGAATGATTTATTGCTATGGGACTCATTCGCCTTTTCCAAGGGGAAAAAAAAAACACACAAGAGACTATTACAGTAAATAACATATCTTTAGAAGAGACGATTACAGTAAATAACATTTTTAGGAGAGACCATTGCAGTAAAGAACATATTTTTAGAAAAATTGAAATCCTGATTGAATTTTTAAAAACCAAGGGAAAAAAAACATTTAAGGTATATAAAAACATTCTTCACATAAAACTGTATGGGGAAACATATGTTTTGGACAACGATTTAATCAAGTAGTTTTGATGATGGAGCTCTGCGCTAACAATCATAAGAACTCAAATTCAAGGCTTTATTCAGCATTTTTTAAAAACCATTATAACAGTGACTGGCAAAGAATTGGATACATCTGTGTTATATGAACAGATCCGAGCCAAGGAGATGGAAAAACAACTCCTAAGACTTATAATTTGAAAGTTATTTTTAAAAATAATTGAAATGGTAACCGTGCTTTAGTACCACTAGAAAATTAAAAAAAATAATACGCTGACCTAAAATCACAGCAGGTGTTTGCAGATCGATCACCAGGTTACGACCAAAGCCTTCACGCTTATTAGGTAGGCGAAGATCAAAGAAAACACATTTACATAACTCAACTTTTTCACGAATTTCAAAACGTGGGCCTCAGAGAAAAGTACAAATGTGGTCTATTGTTGAGCAGTCCATTTTCTTCATAAAAGTAGCTGGCTCAGCACATTTCAGGGATCGCCCCGTTAGCCCACATGTTCTTCATTATAGTGTATCGTTACTTTAAAGTATTTACATATTCAAACCACGTCTCCTAGCCACAGTTCCAGTTACCCACCCACTGTTTGCAAATTTGAATGAAAAGAAAAATAGGACTTTGAATGTGTAAGGAAACAAAATTCTTCATAAAAATAATATAACAACATTGTTTCGGAAATATTGATATGATATCGGTTTATTCAAGAAGTTTTTGTAATGGGATTATCAACAAAAAGTCAGAAGTAATCTCCGTTTCCTGCCTTTCCTATCTTACTGAACGTCTTACTGTCTATTCGCCCCTTCGAAACCTTCGTTTCTCCGCAGACACGTGTATTCTTTCTGTTCACACAACACGCACTAAAACATTTGGTGAACAATCTCTCTCTTTCTGCGCACCAAACAATGGAATTCTATCCCACTACTCATCCGCAATATACCGACTATACAGGTCTTCAAAACCGCGCTCAAAACACATAGCTTTAAACTGCACTATCCTGACTGATTCCCCCCAATTGTCGATAAACGATGCAGCTGGCTGTTGTCCGTGGCTAGACATGTAAAAGTTCTAAGGTGGGTGGCGTCAATATACATTTATTTTTCTTTTGTTTTTTGTATACAGCTGTTTTTCAATTAAATAAATGTATGTTATTTTTTAATGTCCTGATTATGTTTGCCAATATTTTTATGTACAGCGCGGTGAGCCAATCCCTACGCTGGGGTACAGCGCTATATAAGTCCACTAATAATAATAATAATAATATTATAAATACTAAATGTCACTTGAGCTTGGCGGAGAAGTGTATCAACTTGTTATTGTTTTCACTAAAATATCCGAAGAAAGAAGGAAATGAAAAAAAAAATAATAATCTTCATAAAACTAACATTAAAATAATTTTAAATATTAATGTTTCTTCGGTGCCTCTGGCATAATTTAATATAAAGCGCTGACGTAAAAAGACTACAGGTGTTTGTTGATCGATCAGCAGCTAACGATCCAAAGCCTTCACGCTCATTTGGTAGGCGAAGATCAAATGTCCAATTTACATACACCGCTGATCCTGCATTTCAAACGGGGGCCTTAGAAAAATTGCGAATGTTGCTTGAGACGGAACAAACATCTTATTTATTTTTCAACTCAGATGAGGATCGCTTCTGTTAAGATGAAAATGTACCCTCAAATTTACTTCGGACTTTTCGTGGTTGTCAGCGTCATCAAGCCAGGCATCAGCAGACCGTTTGCTATCATCGCCTATAAGGAATGCGTTTTAAACGGCTCTCCAGTGGAGGTATGTAAATCAGCAACATAAATCAGATATTATTTGAATAAATCACTATCGTTCAACATTTTTCATATATTTGTATATTTTTTACTTTTATTGTCCAGAAATTAAAAAAAAAATATTTTTTTCTGGTTAAACGAAAGGTATATTTTAATTTAATTTTTATTTAAATTTATGAATTTTCTTTAAAAAAAAACAAAAAAAACAACAACAACTAATATTCAAATAAATGCTGCGTAGAAACGTAAGAATTGTGCAGACACAAAGTTGCTGAATTTGTGGTTGGTGAGAACCCTTGTCACATCTTGCTTGCCGTTACTAAAAAAAAAAATAATAATTAAAAATAACAACAAAATAATACAATACAAAACTTTTCTAATTGAGGAAATTGTTTGGTTGACAAATCTCACTACGTTCCACCCTTAAAAAATAATATATATAAAAAAAATGAGTGAAACGTCAGACACAAAAAAAAAAAAAAAAAAAAAGAAAAGAAAAATCAAAAACTTAAAAAAAATAATAAAAAAAAAAAACAAAATAATAAAATACAAAACTTTTCTAATTGAGGAAATTGTTTGGTTGAAAAATCTCACTACGTTCCACCCTTAAAAAAAAATAAATAAAAAAAAAAAGAGTGAAACGTCAGACACAAAAAAAAAAAAAAAAAAATGGGAGAAGAAACATCAAATACTTAAATGTGTATGGGGTGAGGGGTATTTCCTGAGCCAGCTCATATCAGTTAGGCCACACAACGACCTAATTAGTTATACTTTTAGAACAGACAAATCGGTTGTTGAATTATGTCAATAGCTTTAAATAACACTTTTCATTTTGTTAGACCTGTGTTTTAAATGTTAGCATCACGATTTTAAATACATTTTTTTCATAACATATTCCGATTTTTGTCTAACTCTTTGATAGTAATTATTAAAGAATGAACTGAATGCAATAATTAACTATATTCGTTGCATATGATTTTTCATACTTTCATTGGAAATTAGACAAAGAAACTTTTTTTGGGTCTTTTTTGAATCATGAGAATCCTAATAGACTTCTGATGCGGCTTACAAGACCCCCCAACCCCCCCCCCCCCACCCCCTGTGATTCTGGATTTCCAAGTCATTCCGCAACAAGTGTGCAATGTTCTTTTTTTACACAGATCTTAAATGATCTGAAAAAAGCAATGATTTAAACATGGCAGCAGTAATTCATTCATAAAAGAGGGTGACAACTTCAAGACGGAGCCTTGCCTGAAATGTCATTTAAGGACGTACTATTTTTTTTTAAATTTAAAATTACGCCTAATACACAAGCGTTGGTTTAAAATTTAAAACACGGTTTAATAAAAAAGTGTAGTGTTCACTAATTAAACTGTTCCTTTCAACACAAATCATATAATATTCATGATTGTGAAGAAAACATCAGGCTTACCTATCGATGCATTAAACGAACTGAGTTTTTCATGAAAGGTACAAAGACTTGAACTTTGAATGTACATTCAGTTAACAGGCAGCGTGTGGCAAATTTTCAGACCGTCTATCTCGCGTTGTATCTGACCGGGGTCGGGACGCTCCCAGTCACCGGTCTAGAGGCGCCAAGCCAAGAGACCCGAATGGGTTAATAGAACCGCAAGGGGCAGAATTGGGAGTGACTACCTCAGTATTGCAGCACTTCTGATGGAACACTCTCACCCCCCCCCCTCTCAAATAAAAAGTGTTGATGTTCTCTTTCAAAGAAACTCATGCAATGTAACTGATTTGGTTTTTACTTTTTATTTGTCTTATTTTGTTGTTGAAAGAAAAAAACAACAAAAGAACTGTCTCCTTTTAAATCAAGGTTTGGCAAAGTGTTTCAAGTGAAAATCCCCGTTGAAGGATGAGCACAGTGTAAGGCTATACGATGCAAATGGTTTTGTCTGTTGATCTCCTGGTTAAGGCGCACGCTCCCGCCGTTCAAAGACCACCCCCCCCCCACACACGCTTGGAGCACCACCGGTCGTAACACTGGCAAAGTTTAGCCCAACCCAAACTCCAAATCATTGACAGCTTGTCAAACCTTTTTCATAGATACACTCTCCTGTAGCTGGTCATTATTTCATTCGATGCTTTTCGGCGCAGGTTCTCTGTGACTTCGAAACACAAATGTGTCCCCGTGAAATGGTATTCCCATGAAGAATGTCATCCCTGTAGGGGAAAGGGATCCTAATGTGACATGGGATTCCGGGATCCCCCACCCCCATCCCCCCACCGTGGAATGGGATTCTCCCGGAAATTCTTTTATTTTTAAGAGATACATGGCAATAGTTTTAACACTGGTAAATATGTTACTTTTAATAGTTAGATTAGTCGATAAATCGTGTTTTTTTTTACTTGGCTAGATTGAATGTTAAAAAAAGGTGTCACCCTCCACACTTCTTTTACAAAGCTATTATTTATGTGTTGTTTTTTTTTCATGAGATAAATTTTCCGAATTCAATCCGGGGAAACGACGGGTACATGGCTAGTATTTAATAATTTTAAAAAATGCCTCATGTCTTTTTTCAAAGAGCCCTGCACTTCAGGAGCCACAATTCTGCCATCCAACTTCTTTAAATGAAAATGAGCAGGTACTTTTAATTTGTTGCGTTCTTCTGTTCCCAGCAATCTGAACCTTTCGACCTGACCCCATGCATGACGTGCGTGTGTACGGATAAGGAGAATAACGTGGCGACATGCTCCCAGCTGATATGTGAGGCCACGGTGTGTGAGTTCGGGTACGCGGTAACCCAGATCGAGGGCAAGTGTTGCCCCGAGTGTGTCCAGTACGTGCGTGATCTGTACTTGAACATTTCAGAATCTGATTATCTCAACGCTTCAGAGGTAAGGTTCGTTCCATCATTGGTGAACATGGCGTACTGTTTTAACGTATACAAAACATCACGAGAAATACATTTGTTAAATTAAAAAAAAAAACCCACAAACATAACTTAAATTGATTATTGATTAACATAATTATAATAATAATATATTGAAAGGAAAAAAATGTGATCGAATTTCAAAGCGAATCGCAAGTGTAAAGCTAAAAAAATGGAGGGTATTTTCCACCCAGGACATCACAGTTGCCTTAAGACGACCTCGATCATGGAAAAATCCGTGAAAGACATAGACATTAATTGAGTCAGCTATCAGTCTCATCTAATAGCTAAAGACAAACACCAGACCATCGAGCCAGGTCCCCTAAATGGCGGTATGGTACCCCGGGCAACGCCAGGAAGTCTGTGGCGGCGTCTCTTTTATCGACATGCCAAAATTTGGATTTACCTACCCGTCATGGCGACTAGAACCCTGGGAGAATCAGTAATCAGTCATAACTTACCAGTATGCCTACAACTGATGTTTAATTATTAAATCGATAAACTTGTCGTCAACATTGCCAATTTAGAAGTGTGATATATGACAGAATTACTGTTTTTTTTTAACCCTTGATAAATACTTTAACAACTTGTTTTACGTTTAAATGATATAATGATCACAATTACCATTTTTTAGAATATTTATCCATTTACTAAAAAGGATTATGTACACATTTACTTTAAAAAAAAAATATTTGATAATGTTAATTTTTATTAAAAAAATCTTATTTTATCAAAATGTTTAACACTGGATGAGCATAGAATAGGTCCAGGTGCATCTTCAATAATTTCGAAAGTAAATTTTACTTTAAAATTGTCATACAATTTAATTAGACTTATACAAAAATATTGTAACAAAAGGTTCTGAGCTTGACAGGTGACTCTGCATAACAACAGGTTCTGAACTTGACAGGTGACTCTGCATAACAACAGGTTCTGAGCTTGACAGGTGACTCTGCATAACAACAGGTTCTGAGCTTGACATGTGACTCTGCATAACAATAGGTTCTGAACTTGACAGGTGACTCTCCATAACAATAGGTTCTGAACTTGACAGGTGACTCTCCATAACTATAGGTTCTGAACTTGACAGGTGACTCTCCATAACAATAGGTTCTGAACTTGACAGGTGACTCTCCATAACAATAGGTTCTGAACTTGACGGGTGACTCTGCATAACAATAGGTTCTGAACTTGACAGGTGACTCTCCGTAACAACAGGTTCTGAACTTGACAGGTGACTCTCCATAACAATAGGTTCTGAACTTGACAGGTGACTCTGCATAACAACAGGTTCTGAGCTTGACAGGTGACTCTGCATAACAACAGGTTCTGAACTTGACAGGTGACTCTCCATAACAACAGGTTCTGAACTTGACAGGTGACTCTCCATAACAATAGGTTCTGAACTTGACAGGTGACTCTGCATAACAACAGGTTCTGAGCTTGACAGGTGACTCTCCATAACAACAGGTTCTGAACTTGACAGGTGACTCTCCCTAACAACAGGTTCTGAACTTGACAGGTGACTCTCCATAACAACAGGTTCTGAGCTTGACAGGTGACTCTGCATAACAACAGGTTCTGAACTTGACAGGTGACTCTCCATAACAACAGGTTCTGAACTTGACAGGTGACTCTCCATAACAACAGGTTCTGAACTTGACAGGTGACTCTCCATAACAACAGGTTCTGAACTTGACAGGTGACTCTCCATAACAATAGGTTCTGAACTTGACAGGTGACTCTCGATAACAATAGACTTATTGAGTCGATGTGTATGCGGAGGAAATAGTGGTAAGTTGGGTGGGTTAATTTTGAGAATAAAAATGGTGGCTGCGATGAGGTTGACATCATGCCGTACGTAGCATATTTTAATTTAACAAACATTCACGGGCGTTGGAAATTGACACGGCAACCAAACCAACAAAAGACGGAAGCTTAACTTTAATACCTTTCCATGTGTTTCATTTCCAGTACCAGGCTCTCAACGACATTCCAGTTTTTGAACCGTTCAACATCACGGAGATGCTCATCAAAGAAAACTTGACTAACGTCTGATGGAAATGGCGTCTGCTCTCAAGGGGACCGTTTCAGTTACTCACTGCAAATTGACTTTTAAAAAAAAAAATAAATCATCTCGACAACTACAAAACAATTTAATTCCATAAAACAAATCATGTTTTTTTTAATTTTAATTGTTTGTATGTCAACATCTTTTAAATGCACGAGCATAATCATGTAGTGATGAGCAGTAAAAAATAATAAAAATAAACTGCCTATGTCGTGTAATTATAATTCAGAAATACTTCAATGACCTCTAATGTAATGACCTTTGACGTATTCCTTAAGGACTTTAACTTTACGAGCTTCCTTAAGAGAAATACGCATGGACTAAATGTTTCCTCCAAGAATGATTTGAATAAAAGATCAAAGCTACAATGCTTAGAAACCCACATTAACATAAATATAAGTTCATCTATATGGTTATTTTATAATGCGGCTTCACAATAATAAACTTCAAAGTGGTACTATCCTTTTAAAAAAAGCCCAGGTTTTGACATTGTTAAGCTTCTGAATTCAGGTGTCTATATTTGTGTAGAACAATATAGTCAGAAACTGAATTAAATCAAGTGAAAATATTTTTTTTAAAAAGATGTCTAAAAAGTTTCAATAATATATATTTATTTACACTAATTCCTAGGTCTTCTTTTACGTAAATACCCAAAAGTAAGGGATTTCTTTATTTATTAGTTTGTTTCAGAAGACACGATGTACAAAGATAGAATTGATACAATTGATTTTTGTAAAGGAGACACAGTGGCTATGACCATTTTTAGTTTTACACTTTATTTACTACAGTTTAACGTTCCTCTGACACAGTTTCTCTCTCTCTGTCTCTCTCTCACTCTTTCTCTCTGTCTTTCACTCTGGGTCTCTCCCGAAAGTCAATGCCGTTTCCGCAAAGAACGCAGAACTAACTACTTGGTGTTTGCTGTCAGGCAGCTCCAAGAGCAACGGCAGGAGCTAAAAAGGGACACACATTCCACATTTATTGACCTGAATAAGGCTTTTGACAAGGTACATTGAAATAGCCTGTGGAAAAATCATGAAGAAGTACGGATATCCAGACAAGTTCACCAACCTCACCCGTCAGCTGCATGATGGCATGATGGCCCAAGTGCAGGATAACGGTCAGTCATCTCAAGCAGTCCCCGTCACAAACGGTGTAAAGCAGGGATGGCGTCCTTGCTCCCACACTCTTCAGTATTATGTATTCTGCAATGCTGTCTTATGCGATCAAGGACTCCACCACGGGCTTGCCAAACTGCTTCTGCACCAATGGATCAGTCTTCAACTTTAAGAGGCTTCAAGCTAAAACCAAGGTCAAACAGCACCGCACACGAGCTTCTGTTTGCGGACGATTGTGCCCTCAACGCTGCCTCAGAAGACACATGCAACGCATTGTTGATATCTTCTCTGAGGCCTGCAACAACATGGCCTCACAATCAACACACAGAAGACTTAAGGGATTTATCAGCCAGCTCACTGTAAGCTCAACGTTTAACCTAGCATAACCATCAGTGGACAGTGTCTAACCGCGGTGGATAAATTTACTAACTTGGGCAGCACTCTCTCCAGATCTGTGGTCATGGATGATGAAATGAATGTCATACTCGCAAAAATTTATGCCATATTTGACAGACTCCGTCCGCAGCACTATTTGGGACAAGAGAGGTATCAGACGAGAAGCGAAGATCAAGGTCTATAGCGCAGCAATCATATCGACATTGCTCTACGGATGCGAAACGTAGACTGTCTACCAGCGTCACGTCAAGAAACTAAACCACTTTCACACAACCTGCCTCAGGAAACTCCTCAGCATCAGGTGGCAAGACAAAGTGCATGCCAATGAGGTCCTCACAAGAGCAAACCTACCCAGCACATTCACCACCCTGATGCAGTCTCAACAGCATGAGCAGCTCAGGCTTACCACCTACATGGATGGGACACGCAGCCCGTATGGAAGACAACCGGCTCCTAGACATTTTTCGAAGAAATCCCGATAGGCAAGCGCTCCTTAGGAGTTCAAATAAGCGCCACAAAGACTGACAGAAAGTGGCACTAAAGACCTTCAGCATCAACCCTATTGAATGTTGTTGACAGCCCAGGACAGAGCCATGTGGAGATCAGCTGTCAAGATGGGGGCTTAATGTAATGATACCAGAAGGAGAGCCACAGCTGAGACACGCAGGCTAGCCCGAAATAGTAACATTAGATCACAAACTGCATCAACTGTCCCCAGCCCGCCGTGCCAGAGATAATTCCGAGCACGGATCGGACTAGCAGGCCACCTACGCACTCACCGTGTGCCCCCCACCCCCCTCCCTTGGCCCCATACCGAATGACTCGATGGACCTAGTCGATGTTGACGGACGAACAACAACATCTCTGTGTCTAACTCCTCTCGCTCTTTCTCTCTCTATCTCTCTCTCTCTCTCTATCTCTCTCTCTCTCTCTCTCTCTCTCTCTCTCTCTCTCTCTCTCTGGCATACTCATTCGCCCTTATGCTTATTTTAGTCAAAATGAAGAACTCTAGGATTTCATTACTTAACAATTACATTTTCCCGCCCACTTTCTTAATCTGTACCCACGTCTCCCCACCTTTGTCTAATTCCGTCAGGTTTATTACGACCTTAATCCCTAACTTAGAACTCTCAGATCGCCATTCTTTTTATTATTTAAAAAAAAAACAACTAAAATGCACATAATTTATTGAAGCTAAATTTAATCAATAACAAATCTTTTTAAGATCAAGAGTGGTGAGCAGATGTTAGATATACCTTAAGAGAGTTCAACCCGCCGCCGAAGTCAACACTGAGCTATTTATTGCATTCCTTCAAAGAAATATTAGCTCTAAGACATCGATTTCACTTCACATTTCACAATACAGCAGGGAAAACAAATTGAGCGTTTCTGATCGCAATGCATTAAATAATAACCATGAATCGGATTAGTGAAATGAGGGATGTAATTTGAAATGTGGTTGATTTAATTTAATCAATTAAATTAGGCAAACTAACCGAGACAAGAAAGTTTTAAATGCTGAACTGAAATCTCTCTCTCTCTCTCTCTCTCTCTCTCTCTCTCTCTCTCTCTCTCTCTATATAT